CATTGTGTACAAGCACCACATTTTCTTGATCCATTCATCAATAGTGGGGCATCTTGGCTGTTTCCATAACTTGGCTATTGTGAAGAGTGCTGCAATAAACATGGGTGTGCAGGTGCCTCTGGAGTAACCTGTGTTGCATTCCTTTGTTTATATCCCCAGGAGTGGGATTGCTGGATCATATGGAAACCCTAGTCCACTGCTGGTGGGAATGCAAGCTGGCGCAACCACTCTGGAAAAAAAATTTGGAGACTTCTTAAAAATCTAAACAGGGTTCTTATTTATTTACATCCTTGCCAACACTTGCTTTTTTCTGTTTTGATTTTGCTTTTTGAGACAGGGTCTTGCTGTGTTGCCCAGGCCAGTCTCCAACTCCTGGGCTCAAATGATCTTCCCACCTCAGTCTCCAGAGTGCTGGGATTATAGGTGTGTACCACCGAGATTTGTTTTTAAATAAAAAAAATTTTTTTTTGATAGTAGCCTTTCTAATGGGTGTGAGATGGGTTGTGGTTTTGATTGAATTTCCCTAATGGCTGATGATGTTGATCTATTGGTCCTTTTTGTATCTTTGGAGAATTGTCTATTCCGGTATTTTGTTGTTGATTTGTAGGAGTTCTTTACATAGTCTGGACGTCAGCCCCTATTTCTCTTCTTTTTGGTTTGTGTCTCATCTTCTCCCTGTCTGGCTTTGCATGGCGCTCACTCTTTGGTATTTCCGGTTGGGGTGATAGTGAGTGTAAAATGAAGTCTGAGAGGAATCCCTTGTCCACAGAAAGCAAACGTTCTGTGCCCAAGCCCAGGCAGCTCCTTCAGGGTCCCCAGGAATAGGTGACAACATAGGGAAAAAGTTCCTTTCCCAGCAGCTCTACTTGTAAAAAGAGCAGTCAATTAATCTGAAACCAAGTTAGGCCAGCACGAAGGTAATAACTGCACCTATAACATGGACTAGTTACGGTTTCCTAGTACATAGTGTGATTTCACGGTTGTTAAGGGAATTCTAGGACAGAACTAAAGCGAGAGGAGCCATGGAGAGAGTCCAGGAAGTCTGAGGCTGGCCTATTAGATGAGATAACTGGAGCTTTATTTCTTGGTGCTGTGAATCTAATCCTGGCTAACCCAAAACCTAATTTATTTCCATGCTTGATTGGTAGCAATTCTGATGAAGGGTTTAGCTGGGAATAAGCATCATGAGGAGTACAGTGGAACTGGATTTCTAGAGGTGCCTGGGCTGATCCTTCACAGGATACAGGAGGGGGTATAGGTGAGTGGGACCCCAAGACAGAATTTTTTTAATTTCTAAGAGGTACATTTAAACTCATATTTGAGATCCTCTATTTTGGTGTGCCCTGCCTGATGTCATTATCGGGCAGAAGACTGTACCTTCTGAAAGAGTTGATAGAGTGACTTCCAAGTCTGCTGCTCATTTGGGGCTTTCAGCAGCTAGTCTGTGAAAATGCTGTCTGGACCCACATGTAATTACCACTGAAGAAAGTGTCTGATGTTGATAAAGCTACTTCTAACCCTGTAATTCCCCAGTGTCAAAGATGGGGCATCTGTCTTATTCGCCATTACAATGTTCCCAGCTAGCAATGAGGACATAGCGGGGTTAGGAAAGTCCTCCTTTTTTGGTCATCCTTACTGACTTCTCCATTGGGTCCAGTTTCCTGCTCCTGTCGCTATAAAACTATGCATTTGTAAGGTTGTAGGCTCTTGAACTCATAGCTCTACCCCTTCCTGGCTAGGTGATGATGCAGGGATTGTTGCTTTTCTGGCTGTACTTTATGAAGCAGTGATAACATGACTGATGTTGCGAAGACCAGTGACATAATCTGTGTCACATTCACCACAGTGCCAGGTAAATAAACGCACAGTTACTGTTAGCCGTTGCTACTGTGGAGGCTGTGAGTGATAACAACACTGTGTTTA